GAGAGAGAGAGAGTTTATGTGTGTGTGTGTGTGTGTGTGTAAATGCGGGCCCGTAGGCAGCAGTTTCAAAAGGGGGGTTCTTTTTCTGAAAAAGTGGACCTTTTCCCATAAAAACTTCATGTACCTAGATCAAATTTTACCCAGAGTGGACCTTTTCCCAGCAAAAGGGGCGGTTTTTTCCAAACCCCCAAACCCTTCCTGGCTACGGGCCTGAAATGTGTGGGTGTGTGTGTGAGAGAGTTTATGTGTGTGTGTACCGTAAATGTGTGTGTGTAAATGTGTGTGTGTCTGTGTGTGTGTGTGTGTGTGTGAGAGAGAGAGAGAGAGAGGTTATGTGTGTGTGTGTGTGTGAGAGAGAGAGAGAGAGGTAATATAGAGGGACATAATTATGAAAAATTATATATATAGCTCATCTGCTCAGTAAATATAAATACCAGGGATAATTTTACTGTAATTAATACCTTTTTGCAGGGTACAGGGATAAAAAAATATTGCTTGGTTATCTCATTTTTGTTGTTTTGGGAAAAAGATCTGCCACAGCAGTTTGTTAATTATTTCATAACAGAGGTTTGGTTTATTTCATTTTTTTTAAATATTTATCCAATTATTTTCATTTATTTATTTACTTAATTTGTTAATTATTTTAGATGGTGAATACACAAATAAAGAAGATGGCACTATCTTACGCAATGGTCCAGGGTCCCACTTCACCAGTGAAGGTGTCGCTTATCATGGCGAGTGGAAGGACGACAAAATGACAGGCAAGGGAAGACTGGAGCACCCCTCTGGCGCCATCTATGAGGGAGATTTTGTGAACAACCAGTTTCATGGTACAGGACGATATACGTGGCCCAATGGTTCCTTCTATGAGGGACCTTTTGTTGAGAACAGGTGTGAGATTGTATATTATCATATTTAATTCAAGTATTTTATTATTATTTATTTATTTATTTTTTATTTTTGTAGATATAATACCAAAATATTTAGATACAGTCACAGTGGTGAGAAGCCTGGTTAAAATATTTTGATGACAAATCTGTGAAAAAACATGCATTTGCATATACTTTTAAATTTTAATTATTTGAAAAATGTATAATTTATCAACTGAAAAGTCCACATAACACGGGGTTATACCAAAATAAAAACAAGGCAGCAAAGCTGTCAAATGTACAGACAAAAAACAGGAAAAAAAAGATGCAAAATAGGTCATTTTGTCAATTTTGATGCNGTGCACGGCGACGACGGCAACGACGGCGACGACGGCGACGGCGACGACAGACGCAGATGATGGCTATATGTACAGACACATCTGTGTCTGTACATAATGAGCTATAGATACACAATAAGATTTTACTTGAAATTTTACAAATATTCTGTTAGATTTAAATGGATTTCAGATGTTTTTTCATTTCATTTTCAGACTTGAGGGAGAGGGAGAATTCACAGACACAGACAGTCAAGTATGGGCAGGCACATTTAGGTATAAAGCTGCTCCAAGTTTAAGGTTCAAGTTAAGGCTTTGACATATGATTGCTAGCTGCGCCCTTTGGACATTCCATTAACTTTTATACAGTGTTTCAGCTTTTTCGTTCAGACACTGTGACAGCTGTGACCTTGACATTGTCAGCTGTGACCTTGACATTGTGTCAGCTGTGACCTTGACATTATGACAGCTGTGGCTTTAAAGATATGTGTCAGCCGTGACCTTAGCATAAGATTTAGCTGTAAAATTGCACAAGCTGCTCACTTGGAAATACTGTCAAGCATACTTTTACAACATATACTCAACAAGTCACCTCCCAAGTCCAGGATAAAATGAAAAAACTTCCAACAGTAAAACAAGCTGCAATAAATTGAGACTGCCATCTGTGAAAATTAATGCTGGCTTCACCAGCATTTTTAGTGGGGATTTGATATTGGCCCAGTTTTGACAAGAATTTGTGTGACAGCTTTAACAGATACTGTTCTTTGTAAATTAAATGAAACAATGACGTAACAGGATTTTTTTTATTCATTTGAACTTCTCATCATAATTGTTATGTACATTTTTACATGCAGATTATATGTATTTAAATAAAAACAAGGCAGCAAAGCTGTCAAATGTACAGACAAAAAACAGAAAATAAAAATGCAGAAAACAGGTCATTTTTTCACTTAGAAAATACCAGAATGAAAAAAAATGAAAATTTCACAAAAAAATGCATAGATTCAATAAAAATGATAATCCAATAGAGCTGTTTTTTCAAATTTGAGCTGTATGTCAATCTTAAGAATCATTCTTGTAATTAAAAAAAAATAATAATAATAATAATAATAAAAAGTAATACAGTTTTCTTTTCATAACTGTAAATGGAACTACATGTATCTACATGCATAGTGCAGTAGCACTAGCCCTATCACTCATGCCTAAACATCCCGTGTAGGGCTATCGGTCATTAAAGTAGTTTGCTAACAGTGAAGCTATCGCTTAATATGAGTCTTTCACATTTAATGAAAATGAGGACAAGGAAGATACAGAAGTATTGAAAGGTAAATTCAATGAGATACATGTATGCAACCCTAGGACAAATGTTATACTGGAAAGATACAAATTCAACATGCGGATCCAACACAAAGGTGAGAGGTTTCAACTTTTCTAGCGGACTTGAGACAAAAAGTCAAACACTGTGACTATGACCAGTTAGAAGATGACATGTTAGAGATAGAATTTGTGATATACTGGTGAATGTAAACACCGTCATATGTAGGTCAGGTCATATGTAGGTCAGGTCAGTGACCTGTACATGCATGTGCAGGATAATAAAGAATGTCTTCGTTTCCGCCAACCTGAACCCGTTGTTGTGTTATTCACTTGTAATTAAGAGAATATAACCTCACATTGTGGCAGTCGGTTCAAGGATTACGTCTCGTCGTCTCCACATCTGTTTGATAAATGTGTTGTGAACCTGTTGGAGAACTGTTTCGACGTTTATGGTGTGTTAATTTGCAAATTATTGTGAAAACATGGCAAAGTTCTTTCGTCTGATGGAATTCAATTTCAAGCAGCCCGACTCGTGGCCGGCATGGAAAGCACATATCCTGAGAACAGCATCAGCTACGAAACTAAAGTCTGAAGATGGTGATGTTCAGGTCAGTAACTTAATTCTCCAAATGGGAGAAAATGCAGAGATAATATTTAACTCGTTTGGTCTGTCAGAAGAGGATCAGAAGAAATTAGACACTGTCATTGAGAAATTTGATGCATATTTTCTCTCCCAGAACAATGTCATTCACCATCGTGCTCAGTTCTATAGACGTGATCAGAACAGTGGGGAGTCAGTGAGACAGTTTGTGAGAACATTGTATGAAATGGCTGATCTGATAAAAAAAACTGCCATATTTTAACGCTAGATTGTAAAAATACGGAAAGAATAATGCTGAAACTGATTCTGGACAGTGTTCCGAGCTATGGGACTATATTTTCCTAAGAGATGAACATTATATGGGGTTGGTCATATGAGCACATTTTTCAAAGTGCAATTACACTGTTTTATTGACTTTGAGTGTAAGAAGAAAGAGGCATCTACAATGGCCCCTATGTCTCAACCAACCATAGAAAATTCTTGCAGCAATTGCAGAACAAAGCATGACCATAGCAAGAGAGAGCTAAGCCCTGCATATGGCTCAACATGTTAAAACGAATGTTTGTGGCAAATTCAACCACTGGATGAAGTGTTGTCGCTCAGAGCACAAACATTCTACATGTACCAATTAAGCAACGTGGAAACAGGTCCAACATGCACACAACCATGCTTATGCAAAAGATGCATAGAGTGCATGCCTGTAATGAAGGGGACTGCAACCCAGAAGAAAATAAAATGAAAAAAAAAAATTTTAGCCAAATCAACATTGGCAACATTGAAAGCAAACGTGCTTTTATTAACCTTAAAATCAGCTCTACACAGAACAGTATGACTTTTCCATGCAAAGTGGATACAGGCACAGATGAGAACTTAATCACAAAGGAAAATTATGTGACTAAAGCAATTATGTGATTAAAGCAATTTAAAACCATCTGACATCAAATCACTGCCATGGAGACCAAGGACGCACTGTTCTCCCTCTCGATGCACCTGCAGTGCATCCCAGTGGGTCGTAATCAGCTCATACACCTGCACCTTTTCCAGGGATCTCTGGGTGTCTTACAGCGGTGGATCCAAGCATATACCCGAACACCTATTTCGGGGTAGAGTCCCGTGCAGACTCTTTTCCTGGTAGAAGAGTGGCGCTGGCACAGCTGGATAGGAGCAGGGTCTTGCTAGAGACTGACTCTCCACGCTTCCCGTGCAAGCCCAACAAGCATGGGACCCCAGCAGACCTGGGGTAGACAGGGGTGGTGATAGCAACTATCTGGGGTTGCACCTGGCAGGAGGTGCTGGCCATCACAGCCAGGAATGCAAGATGCCTCTATGTGGACAGGCTCCTGCCCGAGTCCATGGGGCAGTAGAGTTGTGTGGTTTGTAACTTCTGCTGAGGAGTGGTGCCAAATTTTCATATTATAGCAAATCAGCAAAGATAAATAGAAATTTGATATCTAATATAAGACGTAAAGGTATCGACACAGCAAAGATTAAAAAATGAACAACTTACAAATTCAGGAGAGAGGTAACAGCATTTTACGTCAATAGTAGAATGCAGCCCGGGAAAAGAACTCCATCAAAACAAATGCGGGGGATACCCAAACAAGAATCGTTACAGACTACATTTCTGTTTCCGCCAACCTGAACACGTTGTTGTGTTATTCGCATGTCAGAGAATATAACCTCACATGGTGGCAGTGGTGGGATGGACAAATACGGAAAAGACTAGTAGCTGGACTGACTTACATCTTTTTGGTGTCATACAGAGATTTCGATTGTACATATATGAGATAGCCATGGTAGCAGATATAGAGCAAATGTTTATGCAAGTTTGTGTACCGCCAGCAGACGCCGACTCCTTGAGATTTCTGTATAGTGAAGATAACAACCCTGACTCTTTTGAAGTGATGACTATTTTGGGGCAACAGACTCCCCAGCCTGTGTTAATTATGCTGACCATGCTGAGTTATGCAGTGAGGAAGCTGTAAACACTGTGTTTAATGATTTCTACATGGACGATTTGTTGAAGTCAGTAGACAGTGCACCACAAGCAATCGAATTATCCAAGGTGTAATGTCTTGTCTACTGGCAACACTAGTGGCAAGGGCTCTTTAGGAAATAAAGGATAGTAAGATGGCAGTCCACATGGTCTTAAGTGATGAGTATAAAGATAGTAATCTATAACCCACGCAGAGTGCACATGGTTTGCAAACAAGCACAAGACATAACAGGATGTCAGAAGCGGTCTCAAGACAAAAGTAAATCTGCAGTAATAGAGACATAATGGCAACTGGATTTTCACCTCCAATGTTCAGGGCACGTGATGCCGCCACACAAAATGTCGTGTAGAAGGAATATAAGGAGGAACTGAAAATTTATCTCCTTGCTGCTGGGTTGGAAGACACAGAGGACAAACAAAAGGTGGCAATTTTAATATACGGCCTAGATAACAAACACAAAAAGGTGTTTGAGACATTTACCTTCGACAATGAAGAAGATAAAGACGACTTTCAAATCGTATTAAAAAAGTTTGACAGGCATTTTGAACCGCAAAAACTGGTAAAGTTATATATGAAAAAATTTGATACATGCTATCAGAATAAAGGAGAGAGACTGTCAGATTACGTATCAAGACTGAGAGAAATTGCTAGGTACTATGAATATGGAGAAACTAGAAAACCAGTTGTGCAAGCAGATATCTGTGGGAGTGAAATCTAAAGAACTAAGAGATAAATTGTGGAATGAAGACTTAACATTAGAGCAAATAATGACAAAAGGACATCTCCACGAACAGAAGATAGAATCCAAAACTATATTAGAACAAAGAGAGACCAGTACAACAGTCCATGTAGTCAAGGGTGCCAGTGGTAGGAAACCCCAATTCCGCAGAGAAACCAGGCAATATAGAGGTCCATCACAGCGACCCAGAGGACAACCCCAACAAGGAAGATTTAACCCATGTCCAAGGACACGATGCACACGCTGCGCAGGAATACAGACAGTGCACCACAAGCAATCGAATTATCCAAGGTGTAATGTCTTGTCTAGTGGCGACACTAGTGGCAAGGGCTCTTTAGGAAATAAAGGATAGTAAGATGGCAGTCCACATGGTCTTGAGTGATGAGTATAAAGATAGTAATCTATAACCCATGCAGAGTGCACATGGTTTGCAAACAAGCACAAGACATAACACAATGAATTGGTAAATCTGCTACAGAGAGGTGGGTTCAGACTTCACAAGTGGCTCTCCAACAAATCAGATGTATTGGCTGCAATGGACAGCACTGAGACGGCAATCCAGAGCCTAGACTTAGACAGAGCAGAAACAGCCCATCAACAATGCACTCCAGGCATTAACTGGAAGCTTAAGCTTGACACCTTCACATTTCAATGCAAGCTGAAAGATCCAATACTGACCAAGAGGGGAATGGTTAGCACAATGGCTTCAATATTTGACCCTTGTGGTTACATATCTCCATTCATTACCCTAGCCAAGATGATGCAACAAGAATTATGGATGAAGAAACATCCATGGGATGAACCATTACCAGCAGATATACTAGACAGATAGAAAGAATGGTTGTTAAGACCTCTAAACATGAGTTGAGAAGGCCTATTGCTACGATTTGTGTACTCATGGAAAATTCCAAACCCCGAGTTGACGTGCTAGAAACCTTTCCACTCAGATCCTGTGTTGCCCCAAGA